GATCATCAAGTTTTACGGTAAGATACTTTCATGCTTAAGAGTTATGATTTTCATGGTAATATTTATGCTTAAGTTATGCATGAAAAACCATAATATGATTATGGTGGACAAGTCCACAAAGTTAGATATCTATTTATGCCTTAGGACAAGTCCGAAGGGCACCGGCATGTCGGAATATGGAAGTATGGGTTTGATTGCTTTCTTTGGTGTAGTATTATCATGATAAATGTTCAAGCATGGTATCTTACTGAGTATTTCCTTATACTCAAAGTATGTTATGCTAAACTTTTCAGATCCATGATCATTTGAATTGATGGAAGTTAGTTGGCTTACGCGATGATGGATTAAGGACAACGAAGTTTTGTACCGAAAGTTTTCTTTTGTGTGTTTTGTTCGATGGCAGTTTTTACATCTATTTTTCTTATGGTATTATGTAAAAATATGAACATGGAATGATGTATTATGGTATTAATAGTAAATTTTGTAATTATATCTTTCATGTTATGTTAAGAGACGTTTTTATAGTTTATTTTCCTTGCAAGTGATAAAAGGCAGAAACGGGACAGTTTCTGGAGTCAATTTCAAAATGATGTTTCTAACTCTATAAACGTCCATTTGAAATTATAAAAATATTTCTGTTTTCCCCTTTGAGTTTTCTAAGTATGGCCGAAGGAATCACTCAATTTGGATATCTATGGTCTGATTTATCAAGGTTTTAACGTCCAAAGGTCAATCTGGATTCCCTGTGTAATACTTCACTGTTTTCAGTAAAACGTCTATATCATATGATCTTGGAAAATTTTCATACTTTAACCTAGAAAACTACTTGAAATTATCTTTCTAATGCCACAAATTTCATATGAAACGGAGTTGGGATGAATTTTATAAAATCTGCAGAAGTTTGCTGCCTCAACTAAACTTGACAGTGCCGAGGCCGTATTTACAATGTTTAAATTTCATGTTGGCATGCACTTTTGTCGGCCATAAAGTTTTATAAAAAAATAAGTTTTTAACATGTAGTATTCCTATTTAAGAATATTTACATGTACCAAAAGCAAAAGTTTTTATGTAGAGTTCGTGGCCCTCGAAGCTTAGGTTCGGGGTGTCACAACCAGTCCTGTGCATAGAAAGTTTCAATATGTTTTTCTATATAATGCAACACCAAAGATGAAGAGGAAAACAAAAAAAAATGAATCTCTTCCCCTTCTTCTCTTCTTATGCATGCATACCCTAATTATAACAATGGTATACACCCACAATTTCCCATATATTCCCCATTGAGACACAAAATAGTATAAACAAATAATACACAAAATCTTCAAAACAATTGACTCAAAATCCAATAATTCTCTACATAATTCAATGCAAAAAGTGGGATTATCCTGGTAGAAGTATTCGGACGACTTTAAACATTGTCGAAATTGTCCTTTTTTGAAATGGGAAGGCAAAGGGTAAGTATGAAAATCGGATCCAATAACAGTACTTGACAGTTGTCTCGGCGCACCAAAACCTAGCGTTGGTGTAGAGTTCTTGTCAGCTCTACCAATAAAGTAACACCTAAAAATCGAGACATATTGAAAAGAGAATTGCAGAAATATAACAATTACCATATCCGTCTTCTTAATTTGCCTTTGTAAATTCAATTTGTCAAAGTAGTAGATTGTTAAGATTGGTTTTCAACGGTTTATATATAAGAAAAAATGAGTTCAAATGGGAAGAAAGAGGAAATTTTATTTTAAGACGAAAATACCCTTCACTTAAGTGAAATTGGATGGAGATTGATGAAAATGACCTTTTGTGCAATGAAATGTGTAATTAAGGGTGAAAATGTTAATAAAAATGAAAGGTATGAAACATTTTTCATAATAATAATATAAGGTAGGAACATTTTGTTTTAATTACCCAAAAAATATCTTTAATAATCATCTTATAATAATAATAATAAGGTTATATAATAGAATCATTCTTCGCGAGCACGTCATTTTATTTGTTAGGTAGTTAAAAATTTAAACAAAATTACAACTAATTTCCCAATCTTTCAGATAGTGTGAATATAGATCATTAACCTTTAAAAAGTGAGATTTCGGCTGATCAAGGTTCCACATGACAAAAATTGATAATGTTGTTAAAACTGCAAGTGACTTTCACGTAAAGTTGGGGACAAAGTTATCAAACTGCTTAAATTTTATAATTTTTAATGTGAAAGTCACGTGCGATTATAACTTTCAATTGTGTTTATCTCACATAGGGACTCGATTTCATTGAGTTAAATATGTTTAAGAGTCAAAACTTCGCTTTTATTGTGGAATTATCTAAAAAGATCGAAATATTTAGCCTTAGATTTTCTTAAAATGTAAAGCCAGAAGATCTTTAGTAGCTATCAATTGTCAATTATATAATAATAAATACATTTCAAACGTTAATGCTAGAGTTTAGGTTACCTATTTCTTCTTTAAACTATTCTTTTAGAGGAGAAAATAGCACACATCAATGTCGAAAATGACTCGTGAATGATAGATTCCATAAATTATGAATTGCGATTCAATTTTTTACCAGATTGCAATTTCCCAAAATTAAAAAAAAAAAAAAAAAATATATATATATATATATACATATATATATTTGAAAGGAAAAAATTAAAATGATTTTAGAGGGAAAGGAAAATATAATAAAAAATGAATAATTCTCCCTGTCCCAAGTCAGGAACAGGGAGAAAGACAAGGGCACCATGTGACGCCCCTATTCCTGACCCGGGACAGGGAGCAGGGCTGATAAAAAATATTGATATTTTGGGCGAAGAAATGAGAAAAATTAATAAATAAATGGTATAGCCCACCAATGTTGATTAATTATTTTATATATATATATATTTGAAAGGAAAAAATTAAAATGGTTTAGAGGGAAAGGAAAATATAATAAAAAAATATTGATATTTTGGGTGGAAGAAGTGAGAAAAATTAATAAATAAATGGTATAGCCCACCAACGTTGATTAATTTTTGTCCGATACTTGACATGGGACAACTGTCTGTTTGCCCATTTGTTATTTGTCTTGAAAATTATACGACGTCACATGTCAAAATATCAAGTCATATCACTGGGACCGGTTTTTTGTGTTAGGTCATCTTGGCCGAATCGCAACCCTTTGCCTCTTGCATGTGTCATCCAGAGCATAAGGAACATAATGACTTAACAAAATTCTCGTATTCTTTTGACTTTTCACAGACAATTTATTAAAGATTCCAAATTTAATGGACATTTAAATATTGAATTAAGTCAAATAAACATAGCTCTTGACATAATGAATGACATAGCACTCACATTCGAGGTGGTTGATCCTCATGAATAAAATAATCCGACCCCCCTCTGTGTGTGATACGTCATTCCCGATGTCAACCTCTATGGTTAAATAGCATGGTCTTTAAATATTAAATGTTACACTTCTTGCAATAGAATGTTTGGCTTAGCATAAAAGTCGAATTATTAGCTCCCTTGTATGGAGGGATGGAAGAATGGAATATGTGGTCACCGGCTTAAAAAAAAATTTAAATTTTAACCCCCCCCCCCCCCCCCCCTCTTCCTTTTTATATATCTCTCCATCATGTAAAAAAATATAACATTTTTAATCACTTTCAAGCACCATCAAACACGATGTAAAGTGCATTTGACAAAAAAATTCAATTTTATGCATCATATTCCTTATTATTTTCATTATATTTTAATTGTAACTAATTAACTTTTTTAGATACACTATCGAGCTTCCATTTATTAGTAAATATTACTTCTCATAACGGTTTCGTCAAAAAGTCATTTGGGAGGCGTAATGCATATTCTACCAATATCAAATATAACTATTGTAAAAGTGCAATAAATTATTTTTTTCCGCAAACAGAATATTGAAGTCAAATGGCATGATTAGTACAGATTGAAGTTCGCTGAGCTAATAACAGTTGGGTGAAAGTTGATTGCTTTCCACTGCAAATAACCCATCAAGGATTACAAGAACTTGCATCATTTAGTCAACCAAAATTATCAAAACACCTTTATGATCGTTTTCGGAAACTACACAAACTCAACCACATTTGCTCTTAAACCCTTTCAAAATTTGTATCCTAAAGAGTATAAAAGCTCAAGGCATGAGTAACAAAGTTAAACTAACCAAGAGCTTAGCATGCTTTGTGACACTTGCATTTTCAATGTCTTTTCTTGTTTCCACTTTGCTTCGACGGGTTAAAGACCATGTGCATAAACAGAATGACAATGAGAAGCGCCGAAATATGAGAACCATAATTCACCAGCAGCTTCTGCCCAGTTGAAAAGATACACGGTAAGAGCATGGTTGGCAAAATAGTACACGAGATAATCAACTTTGAAGTATTTCTAAGTGAATTCAACATCCTTAGGATCATAAGAAGATTCTTCAATACCCCACCCCCGCCAATGATTAAAGAATATTTATCAACCAACCCAAGTACCTAAGTAACATCATAGCACACGATAAGGAGAGAAAAAAATGTGTCAATCATTTAGCTGATGTAGATGAAAGAAAGCCAAGAAGGAAGTTGTTACCTTTAGCTGAGCATTTAGCCATAACAAGATTTTCCATTCAACCAAAGGGAATGGGGAAAACAAAGCAAAAGTATAACGTCAGTACACTACGGAAGAGAAATTTGTGACATGCTTTATGCTGCGACTTGTGAGATAATAAAGAAGAATGTTACCTTCTCTGTCATTTTCCCAGATTCAGTGTCTGAGAGAATTTTCAGCGGTAATATAGGGGTTGAATATGCTTCCTGTAAACAGTGATTACTGGAATATTAAGAACATGCTACTTTTTATAGTAAATTGAGATTTTGTAAAGAACAAACCTGTAGCCTAGATTTTGTGAGGACCCGATAAGTGACCAATGCAGGTGCACCATAGTAAATGGTTTTCACATTAGACTCCAACTCAAATGAATGGGAAACAAGGGAACCACTGAGAAAAATGCAATGAACCAACATGTCAATAACAGAGAGAAAAGTATAAGTGGGCTTCAAAAAGATAAAAGAACTTTGAATCTTACGCGTCAAGTCTTTCCCATGATTTAGATGTGTTGCCAATCACAGAATCAAATACATCTTGAGCCCAACTATCATCAGCAAGAGTTACATCATATGCAGTGCTGCAAATGTTAACTAAACATTATTGTACACTGTCAAATAGATTAAAAACTTGCAAATCATTCACAACAGGAGGAAAAAATCCTGATGCATGAGCCATATTGTATCCCATGATAACATGAAAAACATGTAGTACACTCAGGAATGTACCAATATAAAGTATAAACTTTAGAGATATAATTAGAAATCAACTGAATTAGACACTAAGATACTTGAATCCAATTTTATCATTCTGCATGATTTTAGGCTAGCTTGTAGTTACTAGTATTGCCAAAAATTACCATTTCTTTTCTACTACCTATGAAAGCCCAGATATGGTCTTTCTATACAGAATTCCGGCTAGCATATATTTTATTCTCAGATTACAAAAAATGTATGCAGATAATTGCTAACAAACCTTGCTGTTTATCCTCTTTTTGGCTGCTTTACCACTATATGGCTTTATAGCCTCAAAAAAAAAAAGGTTCCAATATGACACCATGCAGGTCCATAACATTTTGGACATATCCATTCTTAAATCTTCTGATCCTTGCAGTTAAAATATAGTTACATTAACTCATAAATTGGAAAGGAAAATTGATAAAAAAAATAAAAATAAAATTGTAATGTACAGACATCAAAGCACAGGATAAAAAGTTTGCATGTAATCTTTCACATACGCACAAACAAAAAGATAAATGAAAAATAAAACCATTAGCGTATGTTTCCCAATTGTGATCCTAAAACAGACAAAAACTTCAATGCAACTATTTTTCTTCGATCACTAAATGAAAAGAAAAAAATTTATTAATACAAACTAGATCTTAATCAATTAAGAAGATAGGGGCAATGAGAAAGTTAACGAACGCGGATCCACGGTTGTAAACGTCAATGGAGACGGAGATCCGTTCGATGCCAGAATTGATCTTTTTGAGAGCGACTCTTTTGTGCGCCACTATAAATGGAGACTCTGATGCATTTGCAAATGGTGAAGAAACGAAAATCAGAGCTAGAACAGCGAGAATTGCCAATCGAAATGCTTTTTCCATTGATCGAGTTGAAACTGATGCGTTTTGTCACACAGATTCTGGAGAGATTTATGGGGGACTGTGACTGTAGGAGTCGGTGCGACAGAGAGAGGGTTTATATAATGGGGTGGAAAATACTGGTGGGCCTGAAATTGGGCCCAAACTCATTGGACTTTGCTACAAAGACTTGGGGCCATTTGATAGAGTTTTTGAATCTTCCAGAGTTGAGGAAGACAAAAGAATATAGTTCATATCTCGAACTTATGTCGACTCTGATTTTTTATTTACAATTCGAATTTTATTATTTAAAAAGTAGTGGAAATTATACCACACACCTAAATTACTTTTTTACTTTTTTCATACAATAAATACTGTAAAATTTATAGTATAAACGAAATATGAAAAGTTGCTTGATAGAATGATAATGAAACATGACGCGCGTGCGCGCACACACACTGTAAGACAACTTTATATTGTTTATATTATTTAATAATATATTAATATAAAATGGGTTCTATTTTTAAAACTAACGTGTTTTTAAGTCTTTTGTTTTGAGAAACAAATTTTCAAAATGATAAATCAAATACTTTTTTTAGCAATTTTAAAACAAATCCTCAAAATAGAAAACTAAAAATGAAATCAAAATTCAAAACTGAAATGCTAACCGAACGTGTCCTTAGTCACTATAAGAGTAAAATAAGAATTGCTTTATGTAACATTTTTATTTGAAAGGAAGGATAAAGTTTGTTGAAAATCGAGCATTGAAAGAGATGGTCTAGCATGACGAAAAAGTGCCTCTCTGGTTAGCCAACGGATGATGCCTAGAAGATGCATTGGCTTTTGTGTAAAAGTTATAGATAGTAGATAGACGAGGGAATTGCATGTATGATATATTAAGTTCAATATATCTAAATAAACTTGACTACACAAGATTGAAAAAAGTTGTTATCACGAGTTTTAGGCAAACAATCCTTTGCCGACCTCTCTTATTCACTTCAATCTTGTGTAAAATTTTATTGACGAAATGCTCTCTATGTAGGCAAAAACATAAGTGCACCAATTGCATATATAATGCAAATTATAGCTCTTCTCATTGTGATAAGGGAATAGATTCAATTTGAAGGAACCAAGCATCTATAAGCACTCAAAGTTGAAAGAGTGGTGGGTTGCACTGCAAATTTGATATATCACATATCTCTACTCATTCCTAGTTAAATTGAGTGTATTATAATGACATATTCGATACGTTTTATTCAATATAAATAATCATGACAAGTATCAAGATTTTTGTCAATTTTTTAATTATTAATCATATAAGCTTTAGTTAATACAGTATATCGAACATTATCTAATTGATTTTTTTTCCATGATCTAGATTTTAGCATAGGGATCAATGAAGTATATGTCACATCCGAACGTTGGAAAATCGTGAAAAATAGAGACAAACTATTCAACCCTTTCTAACAGGGACGGATCCAGAATTTGATCCAATACCGAGCTATAAAATTTCAAACCGGGCTGCTACGTGGAAAAAAAAAAATTTACACATAAAAAATTAATTTTTTACCAAAAAAAATTTGTTGGGCCTGAGAGCGGGGGGACTACAGCCCCCCCCCCCCAAATTCCGTCCCTGCTTTCTAGGTTGATCTTCACTAAGGTCTCGAGTTTATAATTGTTATCAATGTATTTGTCACACGCTTCTATTATTTAATGATGTTGCATTTTATTTAATATGAAATACTAAGCATGATCTAAATAATCTTTTTATTTTTATATAATCCTGAATTTAACACGTAAAGGATAGATAGAATATATGTCGCAACCTATTGTAAGATGCTAAACCTAATCCATCCATTACAATAGGTTGTCCCCTTGATTTTCCTTATGTTGGGCATGAGGTTTTGACGAATCATAAAAAGGAATAAATTCAAAGGTGATTCCAATATTATTACGTCGCTATCTTTTGAATGTGCATTGGATAAACTCTCGAACTGATACAATAGCCTGCAAATCATGTCAATCAGGTAAATCGGACTAGACAAGCCCGGTGCGACAAGCTCGATCGAGAAAGTGTTGGTAAAGGGAATCGAACTCGTGATCAAAGGCCTCCGTGCTCATCTACTCCACCAAGGACTTGCCAAATGTCTACTTTGTGAACAATGTCATTTGCTCAAGATGAACATAGTTTTTGTTCTGTTTGACATCTAGCAATAATTCAAATACATTATGTATAATCCCATGAAAATAGATAAATATCATTTTCACGTATTTAGTTTAACACAAAGAAAATTTATGGTGTATTTACATTTAATAGACCGTATTTTCTAAGTTTACACTTTGCATACTATGTTTTACTATTTGATTACCAAAAATCACTTTTGCTAAAAACCAATAAATTCGCCATTAAAAGTAGTAAAATAGACTAAAATATTCATTTTAAAAAAACAAATCACACCCTTTGTATTACGTTAAGTAACACTTTACATGCCCTTTTTTAACTACTTTTTTAATTCTCTAAAAATTAAATTATTATTTCATTTTCTTCTTCTTTCTCATGTATCTATTCCTCTATAAATTAACGTTTGTCGAGTCATCTCACATCATTATGTACTTAATTTTATTTTCTTCTCATTTTTACATAAATCATATATTTTATTAATTATATTTATAGATTATTTAATGTTAGATACTAATTAATTACGCATGCATTCTTAACAAAATTTTAAATTGCAAATTTACTTTTACCAAAAATTCACAGGAAATTGATCTTTTGGCTACAAAATAGCATCAAATATAAAAATTATTTCTATTAATTCATTGAACAAATTTTGTTAACTAGAATATTAAAATTAAGAATTTTTATTTGTTTTTACAGTGTTGGAAGAGTCTAGGGAAGTAATTTCTAAAATTTTTATTATATATTTTTTTAATTTACTAAAATTAATTTTTGTGGATTTGAAAAGAAGATAATGAATTTTATAATTTAATTTAAAAAATCGTTTAAAGAAAAATATTTAGCGAAAAATTAATTATTAGAAATATAGCCCTTGTTTGAGCCCCATTTTTTTGGGTTTAATAGCGTTTGGAATTGTAATTTTGGAGAATGTATGGTTAGAAAGTGGGGAAAATTTTTGAATTTACGTACAAAATATTTTATTGTGTAAATGTGTGAATAAAAATGAGTTTTGAAAAAATAGGGATCAAACAAGGGCATAGTATGCAAAACGATTACATAATTTACTATATAGGGTGTGATTTGTTATTTTTGTTAAAGAGTATTTTTTTTTCCATTTAGCTATTTACAAAGTCATATTTATTGCAAATATAGTAGTGTTTAACTATTTATGAATGCATTTTATACTCCTGTAGTCCTAATAAGTATAACTGTTTTATCCCATGTAGCTTTAATTTTTCCGTTTAAATATGGGACTTTGATTATTAATAAAACACACATGTTTATTAATTTCTCTATTTTTCTCTCTAGTTTATAACTATATTTATATTTTTTCAACGAAGACAGTTTTTTGTAACTATTATGCAAAATGTAGCATGTAAAAGATCTATATACATGAAGATAGTAGAAATTTTAGTAACAAGAGGGGAAACCAACACGGCATCTATTTGTTATACAAATTCAAGTTATTTTTGTTAAGATTCTACTTATTTTAGCGTTTTACTTAATGACCCTGAACTTGAGGGAGCATTGAGCAAAATAGTGATGAAACGAGACTTGATACATGTAATTCTAGCTAGGGTTTAGAGAAGAGGAAGCTATGTGTTGATGAACTATACATGTTAGTTAGGAACAATGATGCAGCCTAATTTTGATAGTTTTGTTTCAATTTCCCTATTCTGACTTCACGCATGCTTTTGTATTGTGTTTTGATGATGGTTTTTAATGCTTTGAGTTTCTACTCAATAGTTGAGTGTTTTGGGATTTGTGTTGAGAATCGCGAGTAATATTCTTGTCATTCAAAATTATAAATTTATATAGGAGATAGCGATATGCTCATATGATTTTTGTCGAATTTTCTAGTTTTTGATGCACCTTTATATATCATAACTCGTATAGAGATATCATAAATTCGTAAAGGTAGATTTGATTTTATTTGAGACATCAAATAGGTGTTGGAAATTTGAGCAACTACATTATTGTATCTGTTCAAAACTTGCTTAATAAATGAAATTGAACTGTACAAACTATGGTGAAATCATAAGTACTAACACTTTAATTTCATTGAGTTTTTCTTGAGTCAAGATTGGTAATCATTTTTCCTTCGTTCTCATTTAAATTTTAGAATAAAATAATCTTTAATTGACTTTTTAAATAAAGTTAGTGTCGTATGGTTTTGGACATTCTCAACATCAAAATCTAGCTAAGGAGACCTAGGTGAAACTTTCCTTCACATATCTCCCGTGGACTGTTGGGTTGAGACTTGTTGATAACTTGTGCTCTAATATCTGTATTAGGTGGTCTTGTGCATTCTCAATTCCAAAATTTAATTCAAGATTTGAGACTTTTCTTCACACTTATAAATTGACTACTAACTCCTTCCACAATCGATGTAGGATGACCTCAATAGTTAGAATTAAGCAAATTTCCATGCTTAAGTAACTCAATCTTCATGTGAACAATACTCTATTCACACCCTCTATTACTTGTTATGATATATAAACTTGTTATTTCAACACTAAAATGATTCTAAGCATTTCCAAATATTTCAGTGGTAGAATCTTTGAGAAATACTACCATTAATTGGACAAATATTACTTATGGGTGGTATATGTTACCCTTTAACAAACTTACCACTCTTGCAATGTTGAACATAAATACTCGATCAAAAGTCTGGTTGGGTCACTAGTGATTCAATCTTGCAAGTGTGACTTGGTCAACTTCTTATTCTTGCGTTATGTCACAGGTATGTCATTCGCTGCGCTTACTAGTATCGCTAATGAGGACATAATTGTGAAGCTAAGTGCTACCCGGTTGCCTGAGAAATGATATACATAGCAAAAATGTGGTTTTTTGTAAGCTAGTTGTGTGTGTTTTCACTATGCATGCTGGAAGAGAAGGTCTAACATGAAAGATAAGAGCCAATTAGGATAGCCAAAGGACGACGCCTAAATACCACACAATTAATTATGAGTCGAACCCATGATTAAAAATGAATTTAGGCAAGTCATCCTTGGCTACCAAATCAGGCTCTTTATTTTCATACAAGGCCTCTCTTCCTTTCCCTTAAATTTGTTTGATGAATTGATTTTCAACAGAAAATAAGCCATATATATAGGCAATGGAAAACTGCAAGACAATATTGGATTGACAATAAAGAATAACTGTTTAAGTCAATACTTTTGCCTTTTCCATTAGACTTCCAATTTGAGTCTTTTTTGAAGTTGATATGCATGAAAAATTGAGTTATCTTAAGGGCATATATTCCTTCAATTGGAGGGAGGGACCATACCCTGTTTATGGTGTTTGTTAAGTGCCATATTGTTATTGGTCAACTAAAATATTCCAATGGAAAAAAGATAGAAAATTATGTGTGTAAGTTGCAAAAAAAATAAAAAAAAATAAATAAATAATAAAAATGCATTTTGTAGTTGACCATAAAATCTAGATGATCAGGCTAGTTGTATCGGTTATGACTGGACAGGGAATGTCAATGCTTCTTAAATAAGCCCCCAAATTTTCTCTTATTATCTTCCCTTTGACTTCAAATATTTCAGCACTTTGGATTGAAATTTGGACATCTAGTCCAAATTAACAATTTTATTAGAAGCAATTTCGTGAAAAAAGTGCCAAAAGAGAACGTGTCCTTAGCTAGTTGGCATGCAATCACTTCCAACACACTTTGAATCACTTCAATCGGATATCAGAAGAAAAAGATACGACCAACATACCGAAAGCTGTCCGGCAGAAAAGTATTATACCTATGCAGTCGCATAGGTTTAAATAGATGCGACCGCATCTATGCCCCTAGAGCTCCCATGATTAGCTATGATTTCTTCAATGCGGCTGCTTCCATTTGTACTATATGATCATATAGTACTTTTTCGAGGAGAGATTTTGTTTCTTTCTCCAATTGAAACTCTACTTTGATAACAAACTTTTGGGTATCCTTAAAATAAAATAACCGCCTAGAACGTGGGGAGACCTCCCTAGACCTAAAAATCTCTATGTTCTATCTATTTTGGAGGCGAAGGATAAGTCTATACATCAATTCAAGACGAATCATACAAGAATTTTGAAGATTCATAGCCAGGTTCAAGATTTGAACTAAGAACGTGATTTCTCCTACTTCTTCCATCTTTCTTATTTTCGAGTGATTTTTTTCAATTATTTTTGTGTAATTTAATTATAAGAATTTTAGGCTAAGTTTTTCATTGTATTTGACAAATGATGAATCCTACTGTTTGTTTATTTTAATTCAAGATAATTAGTTTAGTATTTTTGATTTAATTTCTTAATTACCAATTAGTTAATAAATTGCTTGTTGTAGTGTATGAATACTCATAATAAGTCTAGAACGCAACAAAATCAACACACGAATAATAGGTATTAAGAATAATATATATAGCATATGCAGTTATATGTGATAAAGCTTGTGAATCAATGCATGTCTTTCATATGAATTCAGACTAAGAATATGATTAGGTTGTGTTAAACATAGGTTTAATAGATCTTGAAAAAGAATATTGAATAAAAGTGGATTACCGATTGTCTTGAATGTATGAATTTAATAGATTACGAATTAAGAATTGAAATAAATCGCAATAGGGGATTCAAGATTTTAAGGGTGTTTGAGAGCCATTTTTATGTAAAAATGCATTTTAGAATAGTAAATTGATGGAAAGTGTGTGGTTAAAAAATAAGGAAATGTTTTTGATTTACGTGTAATATTATTTTAATAATAATTGTGTGGTTGAAAAGATGAGAGAGAAAAATGTATTTTGAAAAAAATGGGTACCAAACAGGAGCTTTAATACAAACAATTACATTAGATTTTTCACTTTTATTGTTTTTTTAGAGTAGAATTAGAATAAATAACAAATATATCACAACTCTTTTGTTGTCATCATATTTCAAATTTACTAATAACTATTGAACTACTAATTAGACTTTATTCATCATAGAAACGATACTTTTAACTCACAAATCTAATTACTTGTACAACGAATTCCGTAAGCTTGTGGGTTTCACACAATAACAAATATTTTGATTTCAAATTCTCTGGTTAGTTTTTATTGAATTGGAATAAATTAGGAGTTGTAACAACAATTTTGATTTCAATTTTCTGGTTAATTTTCAATTAAAAATGGCTATTGTAACATTTTTTTTTATTATTTTTTTTTGTGTTAATGAAAAATTAATAGCAAATTGAAACACCCTCATCTTAGTATTATATAAGGAGATGTTCTTCTTCTTATTCCATACACCGATATTTCTACTCTCTCTAAATTTTTATCTTCTCTCTTTATTTTCAAGAATCTTGTTCTTAGTAGTTTAGAAGCTTTTGTTATAGCTCGGTAATAGAAGCGTAAACCTTCTTAATTCGTCTAAAGTAGTGAGAAGGTGTTAGTCAACTACTTTTTATAGTTGTATCCTAGAAGAGACTTCATTAATCCTCTTATGCCACAGTGTAGGCAAATATGTTTTAGGGAAACTGTGTGTAAAACAAGCATAGGTTCCTTTCTCTGCATCAACAATCATCTTTCCTCTTTTTATGGTTACTCTATTTAATGTAATGTTTTCTTTCATTATTTTATTCATATAATTCTAGCCATATTTCTAATTTCTTTTTGTACTTTTTCCTATCAAATATTAGTAAAGAACTATTTTTTTCCAGTCAAACAAGCTATAATACTTTATTAACTTAAAAAAAATTAAGTTTTTTTGAAACCCAAAAAAATAATAATAATAAAATTGATCTTTTAAATAAAATTCTAAGTTACTTCTAGGGAAAATAGATTTTTAATATAGGGCTGGAGTTGGACTGGCCTATACGGGACGCACACTAGTATTATTGTACTGCCGAGCTCAACTATACATATAGAGGCAGGACAAGACACACACACACACACACACGATTTCAAATAATTAGCAGCAATCATATATGTTCAACTCTCACGAGTGTAGAAATTGTTACAACTCTTGTGTTATATAGATTCCAATTATGTGTTTACACATGTGAATGCATGTCCATCTTGTATTTAGTTTAGACTTTCAAAATTTTTATAGACTGCTATTGAAACACAATAAAATTTATTTTACATCCAAATCGAAGTATACGATAAACACCAATGATATTGTTATCCTAAAATGTAAAAACCAGCATCTAACTCAACTTTTCCGTGATACATTGGCAGAAATTACAGTGAGGAGAAAATAGAACACGATACAAATGAATGATATGATAATAGATAACATAATTCTGTCGCAATATTTGGCAAAATGGTCACAAATTGCTATCCAACCAGTGTGGCTGTTGCCATACTTCCCCACGTACCCTATCGCTGTTGCTGCTGCACATCCAGCCATCAACAATGTTGTCAAAATCTGTAGATCATACAATTTCAATTCCTCATCAGTACATTTATAGTAAACAAAATTTTAAATTATTTTTCTTCCTTAACAGGCGTACCAAGTCATGCAGAAATATGAAGAAGTAATTTCTTGGATTCACTGCCTTGTAACCAAGGATGAAAACAATAAACAAAGAGAGAAGAGAGAATGCACAAGCAATAATATTTGCAAATGCAAAGAACCTGCATCCAACAACAGAAAAATAAGTCGAAAAAGATCTGACAAATAATCCTTAATTTCCATATATATTCGGCCGGGCTTCCTTTACAAGATTGTTGAAGATAGATCTTACTTGAAAGCAGATGAATAGCTATAACGTGCATCGACCACGATTCCGAAAACCTCAACAGTTTGCTTGCTAGTGAGGACAAGCCATGTAGCAGCCAAAGAACCCCCAGTGGCCAAAACTCTCAACAGAATCTGTGATGCAAATGACAATTTATGTGTTTTATGAAGAGATTGACTTACTGTATTTTCCATTTTTCTACTATCTTTTCTTCTTCCTTAATTACTGCCGAAACTGAGGAACAGATGGTATTTATAGAGAAAGACTGAGAGTGAGAGGGAGGAATAATTCAATATCAAGTCCGAGGAAAAATGTAACATAGCCTACTACAGTCACTTTTTTTGTGGTACTATATAACATTATCGGACTAATCAAATGAAATCGTTACATGTAATAGATAGTGACATAGTCTACTACAGTCACTTTTTTTGTGTAAACCCTCGACTAGTGTCTAAGCTTCTCTTTCGAAAATGTTTATATTCGGTTTTTAGATTGAATATGACTAACGTATAAGATTTTAGTATTACACTACCTCACCAAACAACTATTAAGTGCATGTTTATGGCTTAGAGATAATCATAATCCTTGATTGTATATAAAATTGGTACACTATTTAAATAATTTTAATAACAAATTAAGGTTGGTTAAAAATGGTCCTGCGCTTCTCAAGTTTGTTGCTTAGGAATAGGAAGACCAAGTAAAACATTGTATTTTTTATGCTTAACATGTCATCATTAATTTTTATGGTTTTTTCTTATTATCATTAGATTTTTCCAACGTTAATTGGCAATTTAATTCAGCTTTAAGGACACGAGCAATGTTATTCATAACATAAGGAGAATTCTATTGTCTTTAATTGGCGAATAATTATATTTTTTTTATTCAAACCAATTGACTAAAACTCATTACTCTTGGTGATACATCATCACATTATTCTTTACTTAACATTTACATTTATGAAAGTGCATTGAATTTAAATTAAATTTAATCGCCAAACCTAAATAAAGTAAAATAAAACTCATTAGTAAATCAATCTTTCACTATTGCCTCAGTTATCAATAGTTTGTCGAATTAATAATCGCAATCCTTTCGACAGGTTAACATGATGGATCACAACATGGATATTTGAGACTATGAAATTCGATACGCTTGTCATCTAAGCTTTGATCAGGAAACTTCAAGAACGATGCTCAATTAACTAGGTAAGGTAACAAGCCATGTTCTGTGGATCCATGTAAAAATGTCGGGTATGAATGCATGCCTAATTAACGTTTTGTGTTTGTTACGTTTACGTTCTATATTAATTATATAAAATAAAATAAAATAAAATGGAACATACTTTGTACCCAAAAATGGTAAGATAGTACGAAGAATAATAAAAGTTAGAACAACTCTTGTATTAATTCGGCTACATACCCAAAAAGGAGTTATTGGTCCAAAGAGTACAATATCTTTAGCCACATGAAAATGGTTCCAAGTCCTTTTTATTCAATGCTATGTACTCATTTCCATTAACAGATTTTACATAAAAGAAAGAAACAAATTGAACTCCCTTTTGTTTTTCCCGTATCGAGATTATAAAGTGACCCTTCTGTTCATTGTATCTCAGTTACGTAGTGTCTCTCTGTTTGTTTCATGCATGTGGTTCCATGTGAGCTATTGCCAATTTGCCTTTCAACGTGTAATTCGTATCTGTTAAAGATGAAGTCAATAAGTAATAGATTGAGTTAATCTCTTTAACAAATTAAGTCGACATTTTGAAATGAAACTTCGAGTCTTAATATGATACTAAGTATCATTAGGTTCAAACAAACAATTTAATCCACCTATCGCTCACTGAGCAACCAAATTTCAATATTGATGTTCTCGAACGGCCACCAAGTCACATTAAGGTAAGAGTTCCAAATTGATTAAAAACAAAATGATCTACCGAACCTTGAGAACTGATAGTGTAATTATGTTGAAAAATCAAAGATCCACCCGCTTATATCATTTTTCTAAATATTCTATTCGAATTATATTCTAGAATATACTCTAATTAGAATTAGTGAATCATTGAAATACAATTCCAAAAAATTTTAACTTAATAGACTGATGATACAATATTTCCTCATTTACAATGCTTTCTATTATTTACACTTCCATTTTTACCGTCATTCACCGTCGAGATAAATGAACTAATTGACAAAGCAAAGATATATTCTCCTTTTTCCATTTTTAATATGATTTGTTTTGTTTATAGTGTGAATTTGGCCTATCAATTATTCTTATTATATATATATATATAGTCCCCCGGGCATAGATCCGTAGTGCAAAGGACAGGAATGAAATTATCTCACGCCTTACTGGCAGTCGCAGTATGAAGGTTCGATTTCTGAGGCATGGAATTGGACTCCTTATAGTGCAGTATACAGGCAACTCTTGTTTCCTGACCTGTTGGGGCACATCCCGCAATTTATCTCTCTCACAAAACTCTAGGGACGGATTGGTGGGAACCCTCAAAGTTGGGTTCAACCTTTATATATATAATACCCTCCAAATCATCAAAATAAACAAGGTTTCAAGATGAGGGAACGTAGATTAAACCTCAAGCCTTACGAATCTAGACGTGCTCAAGTTTAACACACACAAACACATATATAAAATATCCTCCAAATCATCAAAATAAACAAGGTTTCAAGGGGAGGGAACGTAGATGAAGCCTCAAGCCTTACGAATCTTGACGTGCACAAGTGTAACATATATACATAATTTTAGACCAATAAATAAATAAAATAACGCATACCTTAAAATTTTATAAAAAACATCATACATATTTTTTTAATTTTTCAACAAAAGGAAGAGGGGTTCATTATGTCAATTGGGCCGAGCCGGCTTGACTCATGGGCTTGACGAGCCCAAGCTGAGCGGGGAATCCCATCCAACGAGCTAAGTCCACGAGCCGACTCATCCAAAAATGTGGAAAAAAATAAAATTTTATCAATAAAATTAGCGAAAAATAAATAAATAAAATTCACGAGCTCGCGAGCCGCTCGTGGGCCGAGCCGAGCTCGTGAAAAACTCGCCACGAGCCCTAGCCGAGCTCGTGGGTTAACGAGCCGAGCCGGCTCAGCTCGGCCCACTGCCATCATATGCACGAAAGTTCAATTTTAAAAGTTAGGGACGAATTAGCAAGAGGCACTAAACGACAGAGACTAAATATTCAAAGTTCCCTTTTTATCTTTTCTCGTTTTGTTTCATTCTTCCCATCTAGACGGTTTCTTCTGCACCCAAGTCCTCTTCATTTTCATCTAAATACAGAACAGTACAACTTTTCTTGAAAGATAAATCCACGTGCATATTTTATGCAGACAATGGGTCGATTCCGTTATAGACCTAATCGGCACTAATAGAACTTTATTATAAAATAATTCGCCGGTAAAAATATGAAAGAAATCACCGGCAAACGCATAAGTTCAACAAGAGGAGTATCAAGTCGGAGCTGACTATGAAGAACTCGACTCGATACGTAGATAGTTCCTGCCTCATGTAATCGAGTTCTGGATAAAAGATGACACTGCACACTTAATGAATGTGGTCAATATGCAACCAAAACCGGAAAAAAAAAAAAAAAAAAAAAAATTAACAAAGTTTGCAAACTAAACTAGGATAACAATGGCTTTCCAGCTTTTTCTTCACTGGGCTTCGTTGGTTTTGTTACAGAATCTTCTTCAACTGTGACAACATTAAAAATAAATTTTAGAAACTTGTAAGCCCTCAATGTTTTTTATTTGAAGCAAATGTGGACTTCTTAACCACAGAAGGCAAAGGCAACAACCCACCCAGCTGTGTAAAGAAAAATCTAGAACCGACAACAAAAACCTTGTGTCCCTTGTAAATTTTAAGCAGTTGCGGCCAATGAACTTGATCTGTAGCAAGACCTCTTTGCTGCTCGAACAATGTCCTCGACCTGAACAAGGGATTTCAAAGCATCAAAATCAGATCAGGTAATGGATTCAACAGGTGCAGGATCATTTGAATTAAATTTAATAGAAGAAAAGAAGAAAAATCTTTTGTCAAGGAAGTAGTCTAGATTGTTTGAAGCTCCAGTGTTGGCTAGTTCTCCTAGTTTAGTTTGGCTTGTGTAAATAATCTTACAACCCGTTTATTCTCCCCATAGCACGTATATATGAAATAAGTAAATAACAGAGGAAAAATGATCTTTAGATCTAACCCCAACTGACGAATTATTATTCCAAAAGGTTTATATCAAACTAGTGCTAGTGCACGACGGGATTGGGCTATGATAGAATAGAATCCAAAGTATCCAAGAATTAAACAATCAATGATGAAAAAATAAGCGGAGTTGGGATTACCTAAGGGCTTTAAAGATGTCAATCAAAATCAAACATAATATGAAGAGTAGAAGAAATAAATATAGAATGCTTCAACAATTGAACCACTGGGCACCTACTAAAGCTCACAATCTTCAGATAACATAGCAGCATGTTAAAAGAATATAGTACATGAACATTTTAGCTCAAATTTATCCACCATGAAAGTCAAGTGTTTGTTCAAAAATATTCAAATTAGTTTCATCCGCAACTCGTATAATGTGAAGAAACTAAAGCACATCTTTAATGCCTTTATCATAGTATTCCCTAGTTGAGGGAAACATTTTTAAAGAAGTACGCCTAATGGAAGCAATTATAAAATACAACCACCATTTCTTCCAGGGAAAGTTACGGCTGAGCTCCCAACCTTTCACATGGCATGATTATGGTCTCCAACCTCCAAAATTGAGTATCTAGGTTCCCAATCAATTTAAATCTATGAATCTCAGTCCAACGTGATTGAAACTGCCAATGTGAATGTTAAAATTTGATGCGTCTTTCACATGACTCAGAGTTACATGACATAACAACTAAGCCACTTAACATTTCTCTTCAATTCAACTAAAATTTGCCCGCAATTTTAACAATTACATGGGAAAGTTTTGTCAGGTAGGGACCAAGATTTACAGATTTATATGGATTTGGGGACATAGAACCTCAATTTTGAAGGTTAGGGACAACCACACCACATGAAGGTTGGGTAGTCCAGCACGTATTTTGCCTTTCTTTTATCCCATTACATTATGCTTAAGTGCATAGATATTAGTGTATCGGACTATTAAAGCCAAAGAAAATATAGTCAAGAACAAAAAGGAAAAAAGGCCCAATGAGAACTAACCTGTGGGACAGCAATTCTCTCAAGATTTGCAGCATAGGGCATGGGAACATCTGCTCCGGCAATCCTCTCAACGGGAGCATCAAGGTACTCAAAGCTATCTTCAAGAACAGATGCGCTGAAGAAATAAAAATAACAATAAATACATTGGAGTGATAAAAGGGAAACCATTAGTTAAGGAGAAAGCGAGGGGATCCAGTTGTGTAAAGAAAGTAACCAGATCTCGGCACCAACACCATGTTGAGGGAATCCTTCTTCAACAGTCACAAGCCTATTTGTTTTCCTGACAGAAGCATTTATTGTGGCTCTGTCAAGTGGGCGAATCGAGCGAAGATTAATCACCTGTAGAAACAAAGGAACCCGATAAATCAAGTTCCTAAAACACCATATTCCATTCTTCGTTTCAAGATGTCACATGTAATTGAATATCATTGAGTTACCTCAGCACTAATTCCTTCCTTTGCAAGAATGTCGGCAGCCTATACAGATTCCACATGGGAGGTAAACATATGAGAGAGAAAATTTCCCAAGAAAAGAGCTAGTTCTATTTCGTAATATCATTTGTATTCACATTTCTTATCTTAAAGTTTACTTTCATTTGTTGAAAACAACTGATGCAGCAAAAGTACTAATCCATTCAGTTTTTCCACAAAAAGACCAAACCCACCTGAAGAGTATAGCCAACCATTTTTGAGAAAGCAGTGATTGTCACATCCTTCCCAGCACGCTCTACCTGCCAAATAAAATTGAAGTGAGAGAAGTTTTATAATGCAAAGCAAAAGTACAATGGACTTGGATAAAATACCTTAGCTTTCCCAATTGGAAGACAAAAACTGGAATCGAGAGTTTCAGCAGAAACAGGGAAGGATTCACCATATCTGTGAAACAGAGTTATTAACATAAAACCAGATTGGTACTGAAAAGTATAAACATCAAACGCAATCTCAGTACTCACAGCAATTCATTTTCAAGGAAAACAACAGGATCTGGATCCCTTATAGCAGCTTTCAGCAGGCCACGAGCATCCTCTGATGAATATGGAGCCAGTACTTTTAATCCTGGGCATGAACCATACCATGCTGCATAGCACTGCACGATATATAAACTGAGCGAGAATGTAGGATATATTGAATGGAGAAAAAGAAACGGTGAATTTGTATGCCTCGCAAGAAGAAAATGTCAAAAGATGGCCATAGAATAAAAAATAGTTCAGAACGTGAAGCGACGTCTTATTTGATTGTTTTGTGTTATAAAGGCATGCTTGAGAGTGATTATTGTCCGTAGATAACAACAGATTATAGAAAGTTCATCTGAACTGTGATGCATGATATTGTGAAAAAAAAAATGACAGACTGAATCAAAATCGTACCTGTGAATGTTGTGCCCCAACACCAGCAGCAGCACCATTTGGACCTCTGAAAACAATAGGCACTGATATCTGACCAGCTGACATGTAATTTGATTTTGCAGCAGAGTTAATAATGTGGTCAATGGCCTGCAACAACATTATATCAGTTAATCCAACTTAGTGTTATATCGGTTTTGTTAGGATATAACAATGCCTGTTATAGTGTTCAATCTTCTAGGTGATACTAGGATGCTAAAATCCAAAATATATCAAATAAATCTAACCACCACCTGCTCTCCTTCCTCTCTATTTAAAAAAAAAAAAAAATCTGTAATGAGAAAAGAGCTTTTAACTCCAAACAAGAAATAAATAGCAAAATGCAGTTTTACTTGAGTAATAAGTTGATCAAAGAAATGAAATCAAACAACACACTGAACTTTTTTACTTCTTTCTTCTTGTTGAATTTGACTCATACTAAATATATTTTAACGTTCTTTGCTTTTGAATTGATCTAGCACTTAAGCTTGTAATTCTATACTTAGAAGAGAGTGACTAACTAGGAAAAAAGGGAAGTCACCACCTTCACACTGCACTAACAAAAGGCTTTAATAGTCAAAGACCACTTCTGAAGAATGCAAGTAGTTCTTCCTTGATGCATTGAATTCAGTCATAGTAAGTTTTAGGCATGATTTTTGTCATTAAGAAGTATTGGACCAAAAACTAACGTCGTAAAATGTGTCTTCATGGCTTAAATTTTGACAGTTTTTAGTTGAGCTTGTCATCAACTATTTCATACGAATTCGAGCTAAATCATAACATTTGCGGAGCATCATTATGGAATGGAAACTTGGACTTAGGGACAAAGAATTGGGCATTAAAGTTGGATTTGTGAAGAATCAATTTAAAATTGAATGGAAATATTTCTAATTAGAAGAAACAAGGTCATGTTTCTGAACGCCCAACATAGCATCAAAGAAAGAAATCTCACCTGCATAGAGAAGTTAAAAGTCATGAACTCAATTACGGGCTTCAGACCATAGTAAGCTGCACCAACTCCAATTCCAGTAAATCCAGCCTGCAACATATAAAACGATAGACTATGGAAAATATTACAAACACAAATAGAACAATTAATAAGTAAAAGACAAAGAGAAACCTCAGTAATGGGCGTATCCAGAACTCTGTCGGGACCATACTTCTCCAAAAGCCCTTTGGAAATCTAAGATAGAACACAGTAAATCAAAATCCAGTCACTAAAAGAATAAAATAGGATTACGGAAATCATTGTTGTTGAAGCAGCTGATGTGCCATTTAATGAGTAACACCCACCTTGTATGCACCCTGATACTCACCAACCTGCATAACAGTAATAAAATAAGTCAAAATAGGTCATGAAACCCAAAAAGAACAAATCAACAATGTGAGTAATTAAATTTTCTTCTCATACTAAATTAAAACTTCAGATTACCTCTTCACCCATTAAAAAGACTTCAGATTACCTCTTCACCCATTAAAAAGACTTCAGATTACCTCTTCTCATACTAAATTAAAACTTCAGATTACCTCTTCACCCATTAAAAAGACTTTGGGGTCAGCAGACATTTCTTCATCAAGTGCTGAATTTAAAGCCTCACGGACAGTCATCTACAAGAAATGGAAATTACAATATCCTTAACCACGCACAAATCAAAGTACTTGGATATACATTTTGGTTGACATTCCAATGTAGGTTGCATTTGGTAGAACATTTAAAAGGAAGTACCTAAAGGCTTAAAAATAAGAAAGCACCAGATGCAGGATTCAAGCTCAAAGATAACAAAACTGTACAGATTTTACACGATGGATCGTATCTTTTATTATATATACTTTCCACCACCAAGCATTGTTATTAACTTGCTCAAATACACCACTCTCTAATATCAATTCTCACAACGTTAAGAAACTTGAGAAACTACATAGGTTAGTCGTATATGTACCTCTTTTGCTGTGGAAGATAAAGACCGGGACGCAACTACTCGTATTCCTCGCTCAAAATTCTTCAATTCAGAAAAAAAAAATGGAGAAAAACTTACACAACCTTTCAAAAAAAATTTAACAATTAAACAAATGAACCAGAACTTTCAATAATCAAAATGTATTACCCGAGTAGGAATGCCTCTGCAAGCCACTCTTTGCCTTATAACTCCCAGCATATTGACTCCCTAATTAACATGAAAAAAAGCCCTTCAAATCACATACCCCTGTAAATCAATTAATATGCCTATGTATAAATCAGATTTCATTCCTCAGATCAGATCTAGAAAATGAGAGAACCCAAACAAATTAAAACTAAAAAGTCCAAAAAAAAAAGAAGAAGAAGAAGAAGAAAAGGAGAGAGAGAATTACCCGGCTTGTGTGTGCTTGTTGTGGGAGAGATTTGGATCAGAGAGTGAGAACAAAGATTTTAGAGAGAATTAATAAACGTACAAGCGTTTTGATCTGCTAGGCTGCCAAATTGCTCGTCTCGTCGACGCTTTATTCGGTTTGAACAGATCAGACAGGATGACCTTTTTTTATTTGCAAATTTATGGTAGGAAATGTAGGATTACAAACTGTAGGGAGACCAGAGAAAATATCAAAAAGTGGGTGCTGTTAACGGTGGTTTACTTTTTTTAGTTGTTATTTAACCCTTGTTTCAGCCCCATTTTTCAATTCAAATATATTATTCAACAGTGATTTGATATCTTTTTAATCACACATGTTTCAATTAAATAATATTATATGTAAATAAAAAAAAATTTCTTATTTTTTAATCACACATTTTCCATCAATACACTATTCAAAAATTTATTTTCTTAATAAAAATGAGGCTCAAACAAGGGCTTATTTATTTTTTCTCACTGACTTTTTCAGGGCTGGTAGTAGAGGTAGGCATGAATCGATTCAAAAATGTAGGATTACAAACTGTAGGGAGACCAAAGAAAATATCAAAAAGTGGGTGCTTTTAATGGTGGTTTACTTTTTTTAGTTGTTATTTATTTATTACTTTTTCAGGACTGGTAGTAGAGATGAACATGGATTCGATTTTGTTTAGAATTGAACCAAACCAAAATTTTTAGGTATCTAGTAAATGGAACCGTCGGGTCTAAATATAATTATGGAACCGTTCGGGTTCGGTTCGATTTGATTCGATTCCGTACTATAATTAAATTTTTTAACATTTATAACAATATTATATAAATACAACTAATGACACATTCAATGATTTTAGAATGTCAAAAAATAGTAGATTACCTTGTTCAAATGATCGATACGGTCAAAGTTTCGGTCGGTGGAGATCACAGCTTCGGTCAGAGGTAACAGCGTCGGTCGACGATTGTATAGGTTTTGAAATGACAGCGAGACTACAAGAGTTGAGACAACGTTATGCACTTTAGTGTAGGTGTTTACGATTATTTAGTGGGTTGGATCTTGTTTGGCTAATAAATGAAACAATAAAATGGGTAATTGAGCCAAAAATTAAAAAATTAGAAATTAAACAAATTATTGGGCCAAAAATTTGGATTTGGAAATTGTTAATTTGTTAATTTGTTTAGAAAAAATTAAAATTAAAATAATTTGATTTATTCAATATAAAAAAAATAGAAAGATTCGGTTCTTATTTGATTTTTCGATTCTTGGTTTAGAACCGAGAACCGAACCGTACCCGTCGGTTTTCAATTCAAATACCCGTTCGAGTATTTAATTTGACAAGAAACCATCGGATTCGATTCGATCAGTTCGATTTAGGAGATTTGCCCAACCCTAACTGGTAGGGTTGGGGAGTGAAAAGTGGGTTCTTTCCCTTTTAGAACATGTAATTTTTAGTAAAATTCTCATATTTAATTTATTGACAATTTATTATGAGCCCTGCTACATTTACAGGGGTCTGTAAACCAGATACTCACAGTGCGAGCCTCGTCGTTTTTTTTCATGTGGGATTGACCCCTACAGTGAGGGGTCGGTATGAATTATGTAGGAAATTGCTCTGCACACAGAGCAATTCCCATTTATTATAGTGTTAAAAATTAAGGTTAATGATAAAATAATAAGGTAAATTATATTCACACTACATCCCTACTATAAAAAAAGAGGAATGTAGAGACACTGTTAAAATGAATAATATTTTAATCCATTTTATTTAACCGTGGCACTTTTTGTTTTTATTTTTCAAGTGGGGGGAGCAAAAATAACGTCGTTTGTCTTAGTATATATTTTATTATACAGTGTACCTCCAAATTTACTGCAACACGTAACTTTTCATACTTCTCATCAAGTCTCATCTTTTCACTCCGTGCTCAATAAAAAAAATATTAGCTCAATATATTTCTAAAATATAAAGAGTTATAAGTAAAAAATTTGCATCGAGTTTTTTAAGTGCAATAAAAACATATTAGCTAAAAAAAATATATATATATCTCTCTAACTCTTCGTGCATGTTTTTTAACTTTATAAGTAATTGTTTTTTTATCAATTTAATTTTTTTAATTCTTTTCACTTCCAAATAAAATTTAATTTTTCAATTTTAACGAAAAAGTTACTTGTAAGTTAAAAAAATTGAAGAGAAAAGAATTTTTAAATTTTTAAATTAAAAAAAATTATATATAATGTAAACTAAACAATGCAAAAAAAAAAAAAAAAAAAAAAAATTCTAGCCTCCGTGCACGAAGACATTAGTCTCCATGCATGGAGACAAAAATTTGTTTCCTATTTTTTTTTTTAACTTTATGAATAATTTTTTTTATCAATTTAAATTTCTTTTTAATTCTTTTCTCTTCCACATAAAACTTAATTTTTCAGTTTTAACGAAATAATATTTATGTATTCTTTATTTAACTTCTGTAACTTTCTTTTATTTTATTTTTATTGTATTTTTTTTGAAAATTGTTTTAAATTTCTTTTTTCTTCATATTATAAATATTTTTTTCGATTTAAAATTCCTTTTAGTTCTTTTAAATCGATAGTGTTTTGTTTCATTTTGTCTCACTGTAGCATTTTTTAAGTGCGAAAATCACGCATTATTTCTTCTTCACTTCTCTTCTCTCTGTGTAGTTCCTATCAAGATTCCACGAAGAAAAGTCTAAACAACCTTTGAATATAAATTACATTTTTCAATTCTTAAATTTCTTGACAAGAATTGACGCAACCAAAGAGAATTAATTGATGCAAAATTAACTGATAGTTAAAGCATGATAACCATCTAGAATTTACAGAATCCAACAAGATTCTCATTTCCAAATAATAATGGAAGAGTGGATTGTGTTATAATTGAGAGCCTAAGAATATAATTTTTTTTCAATATGTATATTTTTTCTTGTATTATCATTTGCTGCTGATTTTTGTTCATTAGCACGTTTCCAATAAATTTGGGTAAAATTTCGTAAAAAACGAACAACCTTAAAATTTATGTAAAAATCGAAAAATTGGAGTTTTTATTAGCTTAAAGAAAAGAGAAAAAAAAAATAAGAGAAGAAAGAAAAAAATTCGAACAAAGTGCACGGATTGCACTCTCCGTGCATGGAGAGTGCACACGTGAACCATTGAATTTAACATCACAGGAATCAATTATCAAAAGACAATACTCATGCAACGTTGAATTTCTGATCAATTATATTAACAAAAGACAGCACACATGCATTGTTTTTATTTTCCTGGTCGTATTGATTTTACTTTTGGCCTTGCTAGTCTAAACACCAACATTGTTTGGTCGAATTTTCCATTCAATATGTTTTTTTGAAATTCTCCAATTGATGGAGAATTTTACAGTTTTGATACGCTGTGGATTGTTAACTTGGTATTTAGATGAATTTTACTCTTCATGGGTTCTTCGGTTGGAGAATCTTTTCAAGAAGTTTTGGTATTTTTGCAAGGTTTTATAGTTTTTCTTTTCTATAAGGTCGAGATGAGGATCAAAAAGACAAATAACGAGGGGCAAAAATCCAAAGTTTTATTTTTGTATATATTTTGTTGAATTTCGTATATGATTATGAAATTCTTACCAGGATCTCTTTAGTTAATCACTTAAATGTAGAAACCGACTCCTTTACTCCATTTTATACAAATATTTTATTGCAACTTTCCTAATTTTTCTCCTTTATAGAAATATTTTTTAATTATCGATGTCAATCTCTCGTCAGCTAAATTGTTTACATTATAAATAATTTTTTCGATTTAAAATTCTTTCTAATTCCTTTCTTATCATGATAAAATTTAATTTTTCAATTTTAACTAAATAATATTTATATATTCTTTATTTAATTTTCATAATTTTCTTTTATTTTGTTTTTATTATATTTTTTTGAAAATTCTTTTAAAATTTCTTTTTTCTTCATATTATAAATATTTTTTTTAGATTTAAAATTCTTTTTAATTCATTTCGTTTTATCAATTTTTTTTATTTTTAATAATTGATATTTATTTTTAATTTTAATTTAATTAAAAACTTTACAATACCTTTTTTTTCCGCCTGCAAATTTTTTTCTTAATTTGTTAAGTTATTTCATTTTTTTATTTGTGTTGTTGTAACGTGATAGTTACAAATTAAATGACTTAAGAAATTAGAGAAAAAAAGAATTACAAACAAAAATAAAAAAAAATTACAGGCAAAAATAAAAAGAAATAAAAAGTTATTATAAGTTTTTAAATTAAATTGAAATAATTAAAAGTAATAATAAATATTATTTCAAAAATTAAAAAATTACGTTTATCGTGAAACGAAAGGAATCAAAAAAAATTTAAATCAAAAAAAATTATTTATAATATGAAGAAAATAGAAATTTAAAAAAAATCAAAAAATTATAATAAAAACAAAATAAAAGAAAGTTACTAAAATTAAATAAAGAATATATAAAAATTATTTTGTTAAAATTGAAAAATTAAGTTTTATCATGGAGGAAGGAATTTAAAAAAAAAAATTAAGCTGAAGAAAAAATATTTATAATGTAAACAAAATGAAAAGAAAAAAAAGAAAAAAGGGGAAAAAAATTTCCTCCATGCACAGAGAGAAACCCTTTCGTGCACGTAGAGAAATCCCTCCATTTATGGAGATATTTCTCTCCATCCATAACGCATCCACCTCCACATATAGTGGGATGGAGAATTCTCTCCACCCCAATTTTTTTTATTTTCAATTTGTTTTTTGGTAAATAATTTTTTTTGATTGAAAAAAATTCTTTTTAATTTTTTTTTTGGTTTTTATAATAAAACTTAATTTTTTAAATTATAACTAAACAATATTTGTATATTTTTTATTTAATTTTTATAATATATATATATATATATATATATATATATATTTTAATTCTTTTTTCTTCATATTATAAATAATTTTTTTGATTTAAATTTTTTTTAATTCTTTTTATTTTATAATTTTAGTTAAATAATATTTATTTTTACTTTTAATTATTTCAATTTAATTAAAAAAGTGTATAATAATTTTTTTGTTTCTTTTTATTTTTGTATGTAATTTTGTTGTTGTTTAATTTGTTAAATCATTCAATTTCTTTTCTTTATCAGTTGGATTGGATGAAGT